CAAAGGAGGCCCAATAAGTCCAAGCCCAAAGATAAGAAATCTACCCCCCTCCTAAACAAGACCCACCACACGAGATCCGATAAATATTAATTTAATTGGATTTTAGAGCCCGATAAATATAAATAAATTCAATTAACATTCACTTTGAAAATTAAATGAAAAAATCTCCTGATTCGAGACTAACTAACCTGAGGGACTCGGGGCGTTACAAGTGCACACTTTGCACTTTCCAGTATTGAGAGGCTGTAAATTCCATCTTGTATAGGAATGTCCCCAACTCACCACTTGAATGTGTTCCCGAAATATAAAGCTTATCGGGCGAATGCTCGCATCACCCTTACCCATGTGAATCAAAGAATACACCCTCATAGACAGAAGTTCATAACACACTCAGGATTAAGAATATATAAATAAGTATATGATCATCATAGTGATGTGTTTGCATTTTCTCTAATGGTCTTATTAGAAATTGCAAAATACACTATGGTTCAATCTTATGCAATCCCATTACATATGATACCTTCGCTCACATGTCACCACATGATTGATACGAATAGGAGCATTTGTAATAGTTACAAAGTGATCCGTATCAACAGTGTCTTTAGGATAAGGTCCTCAACCCTATCCTTATACTGTAGACTATTTGAGCTACGACTCTTAAACTTGATCCTCTCGTATGTCTGTTACATACTATGTTTAAGAATACATTCGATAGTTCAGGAGCGATTAAGCATTGAATACTCTAATTATGCACATGTAAAAAAATTATCCAATTTTATTCATCTTATCAAGTTTACAAAAAAAAAAATTACAAGGCTTTACGACATAAAATCCAACATAAATTAAACCACCTCGAACTCAAAAAGAGGTTAGGAGCTTCCTCGGAAGATTGAATTACATAGTAAGGTTCATTCACATTTGACAGCATTATCCAAGCGGCAATCAAGAGCTATCTACAACATCCACTAGTGCTTGTTCCTCCAACGCCAAGTCGTTCGCTCATTTTGTATCTAACAGTATTTGACGAGTCTATGGATTGTGTTTTTAGGACAATATGATATTTTCGACAAGAAGGAGGGTGTCATTAATTATTTGAGTAAGAAATTTACAAGCTCTGAGGTCAATTATTCATTACTCGAAATGACGTGTTACGGATTAGCTTGGACAACTCATCGACTCAAACACTACACGTTATACTACAGAACATGACTCATTTAAAAAATGGATCCAGTAAAGTACATATTCAAAAAGCCATCATTATCAAGAAGAATTTTCAGATGGAAAGTTCTACTTTAAGAATATGATATAATTTATGTCACGAAAAAAACGATTAAAAGAAGTGCTCTTTCAAATTATTTAGTAGATTCGCCTTTGGAAGAGTATGAACCAATGAAGTTATATTGTTGTGAAAAAACGAAACTTAAAGAACTAGATAAAATAATCTAAAACTTATAAGTAACAAGAACGATAAATAAAGATTGTGGAGAAGAAAATTAAACGTCGGATTTATACTGGTTCACCCAGTGTGGGCTACGTCTAGTTCATTGCTACCATTGCAAGTTCTACCAAAATGTCAGAAACAATCTCTCAATAGTTTACAATCCCCTTACAATGATTTCTCTCAGTTTTTCCTCACACAGAAAACGCTCACAAATCACTCTACAAACCTTTCAAACTCTCGAATGGATACACAAGTATTTAGCTCTCAAACTCTCTCTTCTTGGAGAATTTCTCACGACTCTCTATTTATGCACACAAATCAAATGGTCCATCAATCTCTGTTTATAATACATGGTATGACAAAAACTAAAAGGGAAAGGGAAAATAAGAAAGCTCAAACTAAATAGGACAAGGAAAAATTTAAATTGACATTTTTCTTATAGGAAAAATATTTTCTCCTTGGTTTGGCTCCATAATCCCAACAATCTCCCACTTGGAAACAAAGCAAACAATATGTATCCTCTGCAATGGTAACGACTCTTCTCTAGTCTTGGAGAAGTCCAAATGAAGTTGCACACAACTTCAGTTTATCAACAAGGACGATCTTGGTAAACATATCTGCTGGATTGTGTCAACTTTGAATCTTTTCGAGCAACAATGTTTTGTCGTCTAAAGTTGATATGATAAAATGGTATCTTATCTGTATATGTTTCATTCTCGAATGAAATACTGGATTCTTTGCAAATCGAATAGTGCTTTGACTGTCACAATGTAAAGTCCCTTTTCCCAATCTCAAGCCAAGTTCTTCCAAGAAAGACTGAAGTTACATCATTTCTTTGCTTGCTTTAGTAACTGCAACGTACTCAGCTTCTGTAGTAGAAAGTGTTACTATCTTCTGCAGTTTGGAGACCTAGCTAATCGTACTATTACCCAACGTAAAAGCATATTCAGTAGTACTCTTTCTGCCATCTGTATCTCCTGCCATATCTGCATCTACATATCCCTACAGTTTAAAATATGATCTTTTAGAGTGCAGAGCATAATCAATCGTCTTCCTTAAGTATCTAAATATCCACTTCACAACCTCCCAATGTTGCTTTTCTGGATTACTCATATACCTGCTGACAACTCCCACTGCATGTGCAAGATCAGGTCTTGTACAAACAATGGCATACGTCAAGCTTCCTATAGCTGAAGCACATGGCACTCTAGACATCCGATCTCTTTCCCTACTTAGTAGTCGGTGAGTGCTCTTTTGATAATATAAAATGACTAGCTAAAGAAGTACTCACAAGTTTTGCATTTCCCATGTTAACTTGTTCAATACTTTATTAACATACTCTTTCTTTGACAGTGTCAAAATACCTTCTTTTCTGTCTATCCTCATCCCTAGGATTTGTTTGGCAGCTTTCAGATCTTTCATGTCAAATTCTTTAGATAATTCAGCATTTATCTTCAGAATTTCCTCTTTTTTTAGTCCTGCTATCTACATGTCATCAACATATAGCAATAAAATGATGAATGAGTTACCCTGAATTCTTATGTAACAGCAATGATCTACCTGACAGCTCTGAAATCCACTGCTGCACATAGAACTGGCAAGCTTCTTATACCATTGTCTGAGTGCCTGTTTGAGACCATACAGGCTTCTCTGAAGTTTGCATACATTTTTTTTCTTGCCCTTGTACTGTAAATCCCTATGGATATGCCATATGAATTTCTTCCTCCAAATCACCATGAAGAAAAGCTGTTTTTACATCCATTTGTTCCAGGAACAAATCTTCTTCTGCCACTATCGATAGAACAGTCTTAATGGTAGTTAGTTTAACTACGGGAGATAAAATCTTATTAAAGTCAATACCTTCTTTTTGTTGAAAACCTTTTACTACAAGCCTTGCCTTGTACCTTTTGCTGCCGTCGGGCTCCTGTTTGATTACAACCATATTATAATAGCTCCGGAGGACCAAGAAAAGACCACGTTCACGTATCCTTACAGACGTTTGGTCTTTGTAATGTTCCCGCCACCTTCCAAAGATGCATGACCGCTATTTTTTCTAACATAGTAGAAAGCACGATAGAGATTTTCATGGATGATTTTATTGTGTTTGGTGAGTCGTTTGATGTTTGTTTAGATAATCTAGAGAATGTTTTAAAAAGGTGTGAAGAGACTAACCTTGTTCTTAATTGGGAGAAGTGCCATTTTATGGTACGTGAAGGTAAAGTCCTAGGTCACAGAATATCACGAAAAGGAATTGAGATCGATAGGGCTAAAATAGACGTGATTGGTAACCCCTCCCACTACTGTAAAAGGTGTTAGAAGTTTCTTAGGACACGCGGGTTTCTACCACCGTTTTATAAAAGATTTTGCGAAAATTTCGAAACCTTTTTGTCAGTTGTTGGAAGTGGATCGACCCTTTGTTTTTTATGAACATTGTTTGGAAGCATTTAAGACACTAAAAGATGCACTTAGCTCAGCACCTATCATAGTTGAACCAGATTGGAATATGTCATTTGAACTAACGTGTGATGCAAGTGATTTTGTTGTAGGTGCGATGTTGGGTCAACGCTAAGGTAAAGTTTTTCGTCCTATTTATTATGCAAGTAAGATCTTGAATAGTAGTCAATTAAACTATACTGTGACTGAGAAAGAGCTTTTAGTTGTTGTTTTCGCATTTGACAAATTTCATTCATATTTGATTGGGACTAAGGTGATAGTCTTTACAGATCACTCTGCATTACAATAATTGTTTGCTAAAAAAGAAGCCAAGTCTAGGCTAATTAGATGGATATTATTGCCACAAGAATTTGATCTAGAGATAAAAGATAGAAAAGGAACAGAAAACCAAGTAGCAAATCATTTACCTAGGCTAGAGTCTTCCTTGCGCCATGATAATTTGGAAATTAAAGAGCATCTTGTTGATGAACATCCGTTAGCTATTTATGAAGTCCCTTGGTATGCTGGTTATGCGAACTATCTGGTTAGCAATATAATTCCTAATGATTTGAGTAAGCACCAAGATAAAAAAGTTCTTTCATGATGTTAGGTTTTATAGATGGGATGAACCTATCTTGTTTAGGCTGGGACCTGACAATATTCTTCGCAGGTGTGTTGCTGAGCATGAATAGAAGGAGCTTTTAGAGGCGTGCCACAAATCACCATATGGTGGACATTTCGCTGGACGTAAAACTGCAGCGAAGATACTCCAGAGTGGTTTCTTTTGGCCGTCCCTGTTTCGAGATGCTCACATATTCACTCAAAGTTATGACCAATGTCAAAGATCAAGTAATTTGACAAACATTAGATGCCCTTAAACCCAATATTGGAAGTAGAGTTGTTCGATGTTTGGGGCATCGACTTCATGCGTCCGTTCCCACCTTCACTCGGTAAGAATTACATTCTCTTGACTGTTGACTATGTTTTGAAATGGGTTGAGGCTTTGGCCACACCGACTAATGGTGCCAAGGTAGTTTCTCTCTTCTTGTAAAAGTTTATTTTCACTAGATATGGTACACCTAGATGCTTGATTAATGATGAGGGCACACATTTTTTAAATAGAGCAATGAGTAATTTGCTAAAAAAGTATAACATTCGTCATAAGATTGCTACTGCATATCATCCTCAAACTAATGGATTAGTGGAGGTATCAAATAGAGCAATAAAATCAATTGTAGAGAAGTCTATGAATGTAAATAGGAAGGACTGGGCTATTAAACTTGACGATGCTTTGTGGGACTATAGAATTGCTTATCAAAATCTTTTAGGCATGTCCCCTTATCGCGTTGTTTTTTTATAAAACATGTCATCTTCCGTTAGAATAAGAGCATATAGCATTTTGGGCTATGCGGAAACTAAATTTTGATTATGTTGCTGTAGGTGAAGCAAGATTGCTACAGTTACATGAGTTGGATGAGTTTCGTCAGTTTTCTTATGAGAAGGCTAAGATGTACAAAGAACAAATCAAGAAGTGGCATGATAAGAAAATGATGAATAAGAACTTGGAACCTGGAGACTGAGTTCTGTTGTTCAATTCTAGATTAAGGTTGTTTCCAAGTAAACTTAAGTGTAGATGGTCGGGCCCGTTTGTAGTTGAACGTGTTTATCCACATGAAACTATGGATTTAGGTGATTTGAAAGGTAATATTTTTAAAGTAAATGGGCATTAAGTTAAGAAATACTTTGGTGAGCATACTGGCAAAGGCAAAACCTCTATACTATTGAAAGATCCATGAAAAAATAGTGAGAACAGTCCCTCGGTCGGTGTTGAGTGCGTTTTTATGTAAAATATTTTTTGTCTTATTTTTGCAAAATATTTACAAACCTAAATTTTGTTTTTTCAATTGAATTTTGCAGGATCAAGATCTGACCCATGTCAAAAATGCGCTAGGCGCAATTTAAGAGGAAAAAATTGATTTTCGAATTGTGGGGATGATTTCCATGGGCTTTATTTTGTGTTTTAAATGGGCTTTGGATTATTTTTAAATCAAAGGCGGCCCATTACTAAACCCTATTTTGTTATTAAAATGTTATAAAACATAAAACAAAAAGCTCTAAGTTTTCAAAAACTCTCATTTGCGATTTCTACCCCATCTCCCTCACTTTTTTTTCAAAGCTTCTCTCAAGAAATCTTCAAGAATCACAAAATCTCTCACGTCCCTCTCTTCTTCGACACACTTAGGGTTCAAGGAAGGAGATTTTGTGTTGATCGTGAAGCGAAAGATCAAGAACCATGGAAGGCTCTTCCTCCTCCAAGCCTTGCGACAAAGAGAAGGGGAAGAAAATGTGTTGTTGCCGCCACCAACTAAACCGGGTATGATTCCCCTAGAACCACCTGGAACAAAGGTATTTTTCGATCCTAATAATCCATGGATGGTAGAAAGTTTTAAAAGTTTGAGAAATTGCACCCTAGCCTAGTAAAGAATCTACCTATATGTGCAAATTCTGAAAAAATCAATGTAGAATCGCATGATACTAGAGTTAATAAAGAAGGCCATGGTGCGAAGAAATTAGAGGAATTTGGTAAGGTCTATCTTCGAAAACATCAAACCTTGGATAAGAGAGGTGCTGCTTTAGTTGAAAAAATTGCTAGACTAAATGAGAGAGCGAAGATGATAAATAAAAAGAAAGAAATTAGGGATAAAGAGAATGAGAGAGTTTGTGCTAAGATTGAAGAACTAAACATAAAATGGCAAGAATTCATGGAAAACTCAAGGAGAGTGAGTGAAGAAATTCAACTTGAATTAAACAGTATTCGTATGCGCCGTAGGTTGAATTCTTCTCACTATAACCCTGTTTCCGAATGTTTAGAAGTATCTATCCCTCCTCCTCTTTCTCCTACTATTGCTAGGAATGTTGAAGGTCAATAACAGGTTAGTGGAGACTTTGAACACGACATGGAACCCTTGGAGCATTCAGATTCGGCCATGGTCGAAATACACTGCCAAATTGCGTTTGGCGCAATTTTGGAGGACACTCCACCAGCCACTATACAAGGTATTTTGTTTCCATCTTTTCCAGATCCTATCTTGACTAAAAGCCCCTAGTTTTTTATAATTTAGAGCAGGAAAGGACAACATCAAATTTCCCGAAATTTTGGTCGCTTTGAATGAAGCAAGAGGGGAAAATTCATTGGAGGATGATAGAAACAGTGGGCAGCATAAGAAATATTGGATGTTGAGGGAGAAAATGAAGATCTTGGAGAATTACCCTATGAAGTGCATGGAGATGCATATGATGAGAAGAAGAAAATGACGATATATCTCTGTAACGCCCCGAGTCCCCCAGGTTAGTTAGTCTCGGATCAGGAGATTTTTTTTTCATTTAATTTTAAATTGATTGTTAATTAAATTTATCTTTATTATCGGGCTCTAAACTCCAATTTAAATTAATAATTACCGGACTCCGTATGTTGGGTCTTGTTTTAAGGGGAATGGACTCCTTTTCTCTTGGGCATGGATGGTTGGGCCTCCATTGAGATAATTTGGTTTTAAAACAAAACAAAAGAAAAAGAAAACTCTAGCCAAGTCCCTTTTTCTTTCTTCTTCTTCTTTCTTCTACCCTATCCACCCCCCCGATTTCTTCTTCATCTTCCAATCCTGCCGCCCCCTTCTCTCGTTTTCCGGCGAGGTGCAGCGGCGGCCTCCTCCTCGCAGCGGCGCAC